CATAAACAATTATAATATATATTTTTGAAAGCATTCTTACTTTAGAGGATTTTTTCACACCTGCCTAAAACTTTTGCTACAGTACTGTAAGTTAGAAAATCTGAGGAAAACTTTACTGGTTACAATGGCGACAGCTGAGCCACTTACAGACCTTGTCTCTCCATTAGTATATATTTTTTGTGTATTCCTCAGCCTGGGGAAAAATTCAACATTCTAAGAATAGATACCTACCTAAAAAAGCAACTGAATTTGCTACTACCATTACAAATGGAACTCCTGAGCCATGGACAAGAATATTATAGAAATGAAAAAAATATTACAAGTTCTTGTATAGAGGAGACCAAAGACAAGGAAAGTCTAGACAAGAAGTCTGTGCTCTTCAGCTGTTTTTGGCCCATGCTTTCATTCCTGTCTATTATTTACGCTCATTGAAACATACAGAGTTGTGGTCCAAAATGACTGAAGCATGTAACTTTGTAGCTCTTGGTTTTACTCCAAGTAGTGTTTTGATTGTTTATTTGTTTATTTAAATGAGGCACGCTTGGAACTTCATACCCAACTGGAAGTGGCATCTTGTTCCTTGAAAATTGGCATCTAATCTCAAATGTCAAGGACTAGTTGTGATTAGCTGGTCTTGGATATAACTGAATAGATAAACAAAAGCTCTATTTTACTCAATCATGCTTTTTGCTTTATTTCATTTATGAAGCCTTTCATTGGTGGACACTAATTTACCAACTGAAGCCGAGGTGGAACTGCGCAGTTTGGTCGCCAAGCATCTTAATAAGGGAGCTTTCTTTGAGGGGATGGGCAATGTTGTATCAGTCGAGTTGAGGTAAGACTGTAGATACGTACTAAGACTTCCATGGATGTCAAACAGTTTTAATTAATTGTAGTTTTCTTAATATTAGTGATACTGTTTTACTAAATTGTATGTAATCAAATTATAATGTTTTAAGTTTTGCTTTAAGAGTCAAAGGTTGAACAGTGCTATTTATTTCTGAATTGTCTCATTCTTTTCATGCCTGTGAAGTGTCTGAAAATCATGGTTGTCTAAGTGGCAGAACCAAATAAAGCAACCTCTTCCCCCTCCCCCCCAAAAACCTGTGGGCTTTGCAGCAGCTTTCTTACACTGATGCTGTGACTTTTTAATGTCAGTACAATTGAGTTAAATTTGCAAGAGATGGAGATCATTCATATACACACACATTGTCTAAACTTTTAATGACTGTTTTGAGTAACTACAAAGTTGGTGTTTTAAGAGCTCAAACTTGCAAAAGACAATACACATGTGATCTGGATTCTGAGCTAAAAACTTTATCTTGCAACTATACAGTTGTTTACTGAATGAGTCCCACTGATCTCAGTGAGGCTTGTGAATAAACTGGGATGCTCACTTGATCAATGAAAGTAGGTAAAATAAGTTTTGTAATCAATGAAAATAGGCAAAATAAAGCTTTGAGACTTGTAATCTCATATTTGTCTCAACTGTATATGAAGCACAAGCGGTGCAGCAGATAGACAACTTCTGGCCCTCTAGAGGGTGCTGCACTACAGCTCCCATAATTTTGCACCACTGGCTGTGCTGGCTGGTATTGATGGGATTAATATTTCAACAACATTTGATGGAAGGTGGCAGGTTTCCCAACCATGAAGTGCAAGAATGGCAGTTAATTTTTTTGTCACACCAGCAGGCAGGCAGAGGGACATTGCATCAGAATTGTGTAGATGTTTCCTCATTTTGTAGTATAGGGGGGCTGCAGTGTTCAAGGCTGCAACTCAGCCTCCCAGTCAGCCATAGGTAAGCACTAGAAAAGGCAAACTGCAAATATTTGCCCTGTCTCTGCAGAAGTGAGGATGGGCTAAAGATAGAAACAGGAGTAGGAGGTTTCTGGCAGGAAACCACTCTCTTATCAGAAAAGTGGGCCAAAATTACAGCTTCAACCCAAGAGGCCTCCCATTCTTCCCTTAAAAAAAAAGTGTTGCTGAAATTCATTTTGCCACCAAAATGGGTGCTACAGTGTTACAAATGGGATGCTGGGGTTTACAGGTTACCCACCCTGCTATACAGTTTTGTTTAAGAAGTCCCAATTTAGTGGGGCTACTCCCAGGTTAATGAGCTACTGTGTATATGATTGGAGCCTATATGACTTTTGAAGTATGGCCTGCTGTGCGCTCTCTGCAGTTTTTCGGAAGTACTGTACTTACTAAGAATAGCTCAGCCAGTACGAGCGCCTGATCTACTTTGAAAAGCTAAGGAGGGTTAGGCAGAGTTTGGACTTGGATCCTGAACCACCAGGAAATGCTAGGGGTGTAGATGAGCCTGGGAATTTGAAGGCAGTGGCAAACCACCTCCACGGTGTTGTCAAGAAAACAACAGGGACATAGCCAGCAGAAATAGACTTCAAGTAGAGAGCGTCTCTACTTTTGCTTTCCTATTTAACAGTTTAAAAATGCATTTGGCCTGATCAGTTAAATAAACATTTCATGCCTTTTGAAAGCACGCATAGGGTTCGGTTGGAGAAATCAGAAATACAAGGTGAAGGGCCTGGTCCCTCTTCCCAGCAGAAATTGTCAGCAGGTTCTGCTACCCCTCCCACGTTTCTTCCTTGGTACTGGAATGCTTGAGCCCAGCCAAGGAAGCCATGAATTCCTCCTCTCGTTTGTGTCGGTTTTAATCCCTCTTCCGCCCATACACGCCTCCTAGTGATTCTTTCGCCCATTTTCTTTGATTCACTGAATTTTCAAAAAGCAGACTAAAGGGCAGGAATAATCTCTTCCAGGGACTGGCTCCAGGCAGCAGGAGCCCACTTCGACTGCATTTTCTCTGTTTAATTCATTTCATGTTTATAGCTTACTTGGGAATAGCAGGTAAAGAAGCAGGCGATTTGCCTTTCCATTCACCGGCACTGATCCGGTGGGAGAGACCTGGACATAAAGTCAGCAGGTAGAATCAAGAGGTTGACAGAAACATAAAGCAAAGTGTATTGACTGGAGTTACGAACCTGTGTAGATTCTCGCCTCTGGAGGTTGATTTTGATTGAATTAAAATAAGGACTTCATTTGTAATGAGATCGATGAGCAGGCAAACTGCAGTATGAAATACAACATTAAATTGATTTGGCGCAACCACCCTGTGATTAATTCAGTATTCCAGAAAGTCGAGTTGGTTGTTATTACTGCCTGTTCCAGCCAGAAAAGTATGCAGAAAGAGCAAATCCCGAATCAAGCCAGAATCCCTTGGAGTACGTGATCTGTTTTTTGGGAGGCTCAGAAAAGGGGCTTGAATTATATCCTTTTACTATATCTCTGCTTGGGTGTAAAATGAGGATGAAGTGGAAAAGTCATTTCTTTATTCCTGTTGCTCTGATTATGCTCTTGAATTAGGCCAGAGATTGTACACATTCCCAAATAATTATTTTAGGCTTCTGAGAATATCAGTTATGTATCTAGATGTTTGGTTAAAATTATAATCTGATAAGTATATACAAATAAAGAAACCTGAATTCAAAGTATCTTGGCCTCATGGTTTCAAAGTTATATTTGAGATTCAGTTGATTAAAATAGTCTTTTAAAAAGCAGCATGAAAGCAAAGATAAGATTTAACAGTTTCAACAGTATTTTTTCCTGAAAAACTGGCTGATATTTTTCATGTCTGAGAACAATAACATCTGAATGCAATAACATATTGTAATAGTATGAGTACAGTGGGACTGTTTCAGATATATTTTTCTGAAAGAAGGGCTTACAGATTTCAGAGAAGGTATGTTACTTTCTTGTAGCTAAACCAGCAAAGAGAGGATGTATTTTGTTTATGAGATTTAACTGTCATCTCAGTCCAAGCAGGTTCTGTGACATTGTTAAAGCTAACAAATATATTGTCACATATGCAAAAAGGTTACATCACTCTGTAATTCAGGTAGACTAGTTTAGTTACTTCTGATAGTTTACTGTTAAAGATGCTGACTGCAGTACAGTACTTCCCAAATTTCACAATATTTTGTTCTTCAAAATTTTGACTTTCAGGATGGTTATAAACAAATTGTTCCAGAATGTGTACAGTGGTTAACTCTATATTAAAATATTTTGAACAGAAGTACAGCACACCAGTTACAAAATGAATTAAAAGTAAAAATTAGACAGAACTGAGGCATCAATTATTTCCTTAAAAGTGGTACATTCAGACTGGAGCTTGATGGATATATTCAAGATCTGAAGAATCGTTTAGATTCAAAGGTAAGTCTTGATTAAGAGGTAACTGTTGATTGCTGTTATTAAATTTGAAAATAAAGATTTGTAACACAAAGTGGAAAAGTGCTAGGAGATTCCAGTGTTGATAAACTACATTTAGTGATCAATGACTTGGATATTGTAGGAGAGCTCACTGGAGAAAAAAATAGGTTAATATTGGGGGCTGAAAGAAAACCCTATTTGAGTGGACTGATTTTAATGGCAAGTGTAATGAAACTGGGTGTATTTGATCAGAGGTGGCAGGCTTTCTTCTGAGTTTATGTTGGGGATAAATAAATATACTTTAAAATCTCATTGGTTTGGTCTCTAAATGTATGAGTTCTTGTATTGAGGTTTGATTTTTGTCTCATCTCTTTTACTATTAGTCATGCCTTTTTATTTTTTGTTTCCCTGGCACCATAGTATCTTTGTCATGGGAGGGAATTATTATATTCTGTCTCTTGTTTACCAGGAAACCAATTATAATGAACAGTTACAACTTTATTTAACAATAAGCCTGCTGTTTAGTTTGGATGAAAGAGTGGATGTTGCTGAGAAACAAGAGAATGTTAGAATTAGGAGAACATAACCTGAGGTTTGGTTGGCATGGCTTTCTATGGTACAATAAAGTTAACGTTAATATAGATTTTAAAAGTTATTATGTGAGAAGTGCCATATTAAGAAGATGGAATAAATACAAGCCCAGGCTCTGCCTGAAAATACCTTTATTGGTCTCAGCCCAAGAAACATTTTATAGAAAAGAAACAGCGGATAAAGAAAAATTGTTAACTTATCAAGATTTGTTAGTACAGGAACATGGGGAACTTAAGATGAAGTCAAGAGAATAATTGACTCCAGAGAGATTTATTTTTCAATATGCACAATTAAGAGAAAGATTTAATATAGATGAAAAAGTAATTGAAATTGAACAACATAAGACTGAATTTGAAACTGAGCTATGTTCAAATAATGAACATGTGATTGCAAAAATGTATAAACTTTCATTGAGATTTGAAACAGAAGAAGAACAAGTTAAAGATTGCATGATAAAATGGGCTAGGAATTTTGGATATAACATACAGATGGATCAATGGGAGAGACAATGGATAAAGGGACCGAGATTCACATTGTGTTATAATTTAAGAGAGAATTTTTATAAAATGATGTACTGTTGATATATGACACCAGAGAAATTATCAAAGATGTATAAAGGTGCTTCTAGTCAGTGTTGGAAATGTGAAAAACATGGACATTTTACCATCCATGGTGGACTTGTGAAAAAGCAAAAAAAAAAAAATGGATACAAATACGTACAGTATGTTGATACAAAGAATTTTAAAGATAAATATTGAGATGAAACCAGAACTTTTCTTATTGGTACTTATGGGTAATCATTTAGAAAAGACTTGTGGAAGATTGATTATTATATATGGTAACTGTAGCAAGATTATTATATGCACAACGATGGAGAAATATTGAAATACCCACAAAGGAGGAATGGATTGTAAAGATGACAAAATTAGCAGAAATGGCAAAACTGACCTGTTTGGTC